CAGGTCGCCTTTCTGCAGTGCTGGCGCGGCTCCTCTACGCAACGCTGGCAGGTGGTCGACCATGTTGTGCTGTCAGTCGACCAGGCTAGCTGCAGATTTGCTAGGTGCTTGATGGAGTCATTGTTGTCATTGCTTGTAAAAGAATCATGTAACTCCAACTTTACTAGTGGAAACTCTTGCCGATTTCTCCCGTGATTGTACAAGCGCTAAGGAACTAGGCAAAGCTACGATCACTCATAGTAGTTCGTGCCAACCCCCGTAGTCTAGCTCACTACCGTTGTAGAGTGAATCTCCGCATCCAGCACCTCCAGCTCTAGTACCTCCAGCACCAGAAGCTCTAGCACCTCCAGCACCAGCAACGCTATAGCCTCCACCGCCAGGACTGCCTCGCCGAACAACCCAGTTGCGAAGCTGCTGCGGTGAGAGGGTCTCCTATCGATGAGACTGCTGCTGTTGTCCAATGCCAAAACCCCCAGCAGGAGCCCCTACGAGTCCACCACCACTAGGACTCGCAGTACCCCCAGTGTCAGCAACCCCAGAACCGGCACCCCCAGAGTCAGCACCCCCAGAACCAGCACCCCCAGACTCAGCAACCCCCGGACCAGCACCCCCAAGGTCTGCACCCTCAGAGTCCCCACCCCCAGCAGCACCAGAGTCCACAGCGACAGGCTGCGGGGGCGGCGATGACAGCCGAGGCGGAAAACTAGGAGGGGTCTCCAAGCTCGGGGAGCAGGGAGTGGCCGCTGTGTCGTCAACAGCAGGGTCACTCCCCTCAGCTGGGCCAGAGGTGTTAGAGGAGACCTCCAAAGGCTCAACCAAGGGGGGTGGGACGACCTGAGATACACCTGAGGGAGCAGGACCCTGTGGGGGGAGGGGGTCTACCGGAGGGGGACCTGGGACCAAGAAGAGGGGCGGCGGGGAGAGTGGGGAGGACACGTGTGGGTGGAGATGGTAGAAGCAGACCGACTCGTCAAAGGTGACGTCCTGTGAGGACAGGACGCGGCGCGAGGTAGGGTGGTAAAACTGCCAGGGTGGGGCGTTGGTGGGGAAGCCAAGGAAGACGCAGCGGAGAGTGCGAGGAGAGATCTTGCTCGCGGTGGTATCGCGGACAAGGGAGAGCGCGCCCCAAACCTGAAATGCCGACGCATCGCCAACCTCCCCCGTCCAAAGCAGGGTAGGCGAGGTCTCTGGCACAGAGACACGTGGCCAGAGGTTGAGCTGATGCGCAGCGTATCGAACCGCAAACGGCCACAGAAAATTGGGAGCAGCCGCATGGATAATGGAGGTGTGAGCAACCTCCATGACCAAGCGAATGCGACGCTCAGCAATCCCATTCTGCTGTGGAGAGGCCGGAAGAGTGAACGACTGGGCGATGCCCTCCGCATGACAAAAGTCTCGAAGGAGGCCGGAGGAAAACTCACCGCCTCTGTCACAGTGCAGTCGCAGGACCGGGAGGTCCTGCTGAGATTGCACGCTTAGCTGGCGACGAACACCGATGATCCAGTCGATCAAAACACCGTGAACATCCGCCTTGCTCCGCAAGGGGAAGACCGTGGTGTAGCGCGTTTAGTCGTCAACAACCAGCAGAAATTAGCGCTCCTGGTCCTGTCCACGGACGCGGGCTGGGCCCCACAAGTCCATGTGGAGAGTCTGCAGAGGAGCAGAGGTCGGCGGAAACGAGGAGGAGTGAGGAGCGGCGCGCTGCCGCCCCTCAATGCAGGGAAGGCACGGCGGTGCAAGCGAGCGCAGGAGCGGGGGCACGGACCTGGGGAGGCCAGAGACAAGGAGACAAGAGTGCTTGCCACGCAGGCGCGGCAGGGAGGGGTGACCAAGACGGTGGTGCCAGAGGAGAGTCTGTTGCGAGAGTAGCCGGCACGAACAAGACGCAGCTAACTGACCCGACGCAGCTACCTGACCCGACGCAACTACCTGTGCAGACTCAGTGGCCAGTGTGTACAGGCCAGAGTGCAGGCTCTGAGTGAACGTGGCAAGGTGCTCACTAGTGAGCGAGTCCATACAGATCGTCACAAGCTCACCCCCAGGAGTAGTCACAGTGACAAACTGGTCCTGGAGGACAGCGTTACTTGGGAGGTGGAAACCTCTGAGGGAGCCTAAGGGGGCTGCCGGCCGGACATGGGAGAACTGTGGAGGCACGTGCTACAACTGGGCCCCCAGAGGGGTCAGCGAGAGAGACCGAAACAGGTGTAGTGAGCAGTGTGACTGTGGTGCAGTTGCGGAAGAAGCAGCGAGTCGCACCTGAGTCAAGCGTGAAGGTGTGCAAAGCCTCTACAGAAACTGCACATGTGCTACTAGACTCACAGGCACCTAGACTAGTAGCCTCTGTACTACCAGGGACGCGTCGCTGAGAAACCCACTCGCGAAGCTCCTGCGGTGAGAGGGTCTCCTGCTGACGCTGCTGCCACTGCTGTCCAGTATCTCCAGCACCATAACCTCCACCACTAGGACGGCCTCACTGAATAACCCACTCACGAAGCTGCTGTGGCGAGAGAATCTCCTAACAACGAGACCGCCGCTGCTGTCCAGTAGCGCCAGCACGCATGAAATCCCAAGCTCCAAGACCAAAGCGGCCTCGCCAAGCAACCCACTGGCGAAGCTGCTGTGGCGATAGAGTCTCCAACTAACACTGCTGCTGCTGTCCACCGCCAGACAGTGCTACGACTGTGATAGTGGCCATGACAGGCAGTGGCAGTCAGTAGCAGCGGCATAAGGGCTTCAGAAGCGACTGCTGTAGTTGCAGCTGTAGCAGTAGCGGTAGTCGCTGTAGTGGCAGGGCAGCGCACGGGCTGCAGGGCAGGGCAGGAGGGCAGTGCAGCGCGCGGGCTGCAGAGCAGAGCAACGTGGGGGCTGCAGGGCAGGGCTGCGCGGGGGGCTGCAGGGCAGGGCAGCGTGCGGGCTGCAGGGCAGGACGGCGCGCGGACTGCAGGGCAGTGGGGCGCGGGCAGCAGGGCAGGGCGCGCTTAGGCAGCGCGCGTGTGGGCAGGGCGCACGTAGGCGGCGTGCGTGCAGGAAGGGCGCGAGTAGGAAGTGCGTGTGCAAACAGAGCGCGCGTGCGGGCAGGGCGCGAGCTGCGCGCGTGCATGGCGCAGGTCGCACGAGGCGAGCAGGGCGCGCGTAGGCAGCGCGCGTGCGGGCAGGGCGCACGTAGGCGGCGCGCGTGTGGGCAGGGCGCGCATAGGCAGCGCGCGTGTAGGCAGAGCGCGCGTGCGGACAGGGCGCGAGCTGCGCGTGTGCATGGCACAGGTCGCGCGCGGCGAGCAGGGCAGCGCGCGGCGAGGAGGGCAGCGTGCGGCAAGCAGGGCAGCGCGCGGTGAGGAGGGCAGCGGGCGGTGAGCAGGGCAGCGCGCGGCGAGCGGGTCAATACGGGCAGCAGCGCAGCACGCGGGGCAGCAGGGCAGCGCGCGGCGGGGCAGCGCGATAGCGCTGGGCAGGGCAGGGCAGCAGCGCGCGGCGAGCAGGGCAGCGCGCGACGGCAGCAGCTCGTGGGGCAGTACGTACGGTTGGTGGGCCCTAACGAAGCGGTTCTACGGAGGGACCTGCTCTGATACCATGTCAGAAATAGAACGTAGGAATGATTGACTAGTAGGCAAGCATGAGTACAAGTACTAGGAATGACCTAATGTGTTGTACTCCTTAGAGTATGCCCCACTACAACCTATAGATAACAAATTCAATTTGACAAGGTCAAGTGGCGACATCGGGTACCGAACTTGGTTCCTACGCATTGTCATTACAACGCATCTCGCTGCAGCACTAACAACTTGTCTTTGAGAGGAAGTCATTATTTCGTTCTCATAGTACTTTTTGTTGAAGAAGGACATGTTGACACGGACGCGCAATCAGTTTGTGGAGCGAGAGTGATCAGCACAAAAAAATGTGTTGGCTACCCGTCATTGCTGTGGAAAAACTCGTTACGGGCAATTCATGGTTTAAACAATAATATGTGCTTACAATAAAACAAGTAAAGTATACATAAAATACATGCGCTATATTCGAGGACCGGATATAGGCGTAGTGCTCCGATAATATGTGCATGCGCCTTTAATAGACCTGCGCCTAAATCCGGGGGGAGTCGGTACCACTTTCCTATCACAACATGATATACGGTACGGTACGTGCTTAAAAAGTGGAACCCTTGTCGAGCTGTTTGTTTCCTTCCATACATACTTTTGATATCAAGAATCCAGATTACCCCACAATAACTTCATAAAGTTACCTATGCTTTCGTACTGCTGCCAGCACTCCAGCTAACACCATCTATGCTTTCATAATTCACTCCAGCTATACTTCCTTACCATCATCACCCATGTCTTGTATCAGGATCGTCAATCTCCTTATTGACTCATCCATGTCATCTCAGTAGCCGCCAGTTTCACATGGCAGCATACACCCATGCCGCCTACTCTTGATGCTGAGATACAGTGCGCAAATGATGCACCACAATCTCGGCCAGCACCTCCACAACCATCGCTGCCAGCCGCCGCAGCACCACATTTATCACTGCCAGCAGCAGCAGCATCACATTTATCAATGCCAGCAGCACTGGCCGATCCGCAAGAGTAATGCTGCTGGTGAGTGCACAGAGTGCCAGTCGGGTCGACCAAAGGCGCAACTGGTAGAGCTGTTGAAGCCAGTGGTTTATCAGAAATGCTTGTAAAGGGGATGGGATGAGCCGAGGCACGAAGTGCCGTGGAGCGTGCGGATTCCACAGCGTGGGATATGCACTCTGCATGCTGGAAGCAGGGTTTTAGGTAGGGCCACGGCCAGTGCAAGCATGCATGTGGCACAGGGGAGGGTTTGGTGCTGGCTTGACATAACGTGTGCATGAATGCCCTTTTGTCTGACAAAGGATGGCCGGTTGGATAGACAGCCACATACGCAGAGAATGGGAAGTGACGGAACAAGCAAAGGAGTTTCATGCAGAGCCAGCACATCAGCTGCAATCCCATCACTCATGCCTGCTGCAAGCCCACCACTCATACCTGCTGCAACATCGGCCGGATGATGCTCAGGTCTTGAGGTGAAGCCAGCGAGGTCATGTGGAGGAGTGTCGCTGCGATCTGATGTGATGTCATACACACACATGTCACAACGACACGAACATGATGTGACATAGATTCAGGCGCAGGAAATGACATGCCAGCCTCGAGAAGCTAGAACCTTCAGTGCAGGTACCTGTGGCTTCAGTATTAGAACTAATAGCCCAATGCTCCATTACCACCTCCACTGCTGAAAGCACCACTGATGGAAGCACTACTGCTGGAAGCCCTACACTCGTCCCATTGGAATACCACTGTCCCAAACACACCCAACACCGCCTTGTCGCACTAGTCTTACGGTGCCACCTGCTCTTCAGCCCCCCTCCCCACCTTTTTCCTCCCCTTCACTCCCTTCTCTTCACCCCACCGTACCTGATCCCTCAGCACCGGTTTGTACCGCTGCTCCACCGCACTCTGCTGCTCATCCACGTCAAGAGAGGCGAGCGACGAGACCAGGGCGTGCAGGATCGCACTGAACTCTGGGCCGTAGTCTGACGTTGGAGGGGGTGTGAGGGGGGTTTGGGTGGGGTAAAGGTGAACAGGGATGAGTGCAATCAGGCTGCATGATAGCACCGAACTCCGGGCCATACTCTGACCATGGAGGGAAGTGAGTGGGGTGGGGGGTGGGCAAAAAGGAAGGGGATGGGGAGGCTGAGAGTGAGCTCAGGCAGCAGGATAGCACAAAACTGCATTGGAGGGTGTGAGAGGAGGGGTGGGTGGGTGGGGTGCAGCGCGAAGGTAATCAGGCAGGAGCGCAATCAGGCAGCAGGATAGCACCGAATTATGGGCCATAGTCTGGTGTTACGGGGGAATGAGACGGAGGAATGCAGTTGGGACTGGTTGCATGAGATCAGCCAGCAGATACTCCTGCCCCCCCTGCCCGAGTTCTCACCTGCCCCAAGTTTCACCTGCCACAGTTTTCACCTGCCCCAGTTTTCACCTGCCACAGTTTTCACCTGCCCCAGTTTTCACCTGCCCCAGTTTTCACCTGCCACAGTTTTCACCTGCCCCAGTTTTTACCTGTGCCAGCTCTCTCACCTGCCCTTGTGCATGGCTGGATGAGTGCAGCGGCGGCGTGGATGCGGATCTTGAAGTTGGAGGAGCGCTGCAAGAGAGCCTGCAGTGTGGCCAGCACAGGGGCAGTCCTGGTGGGGGGAAGGGGTGGGCGGAAAGGGGGAGGGGAGGGATGAAGAGGGTAGAGGGGGAATGGGGAAGAGGGGGAAGGGGGAAGAGGGCATGGGAAAGGAGGAAGAGGGAAAGAGGACTAGGGAAATCAGGCAAGGGAGAGGGGGGAAAGGGAGGGGAAAGGGGGAAAGGCGAAAGGAGGAGGGGGGGTTATCACCAAAGCTCCTTGCAAAATGTATCTCGAGAGTATCACTAGAATTGATTCTAGTCTTCTTGAGATGTATGGTATGAGCTGTATGGGCTGCAAGTGTGAGCAAAGAGGAGTAGAAATGCCAACCATACAGTGTAGAGAAATGGAGGGAAATTATCGAGCTGCAGTGTTTGTAGCTTGGAAACCACAGTGGCGACTGTTCCAGATTACTCCCTGTCGTACTGTTAGGGAGAGAAAAAATTCAGGTGTGAGTGACGTACCAGCGAGAGGATGGGAGGTGCACGGAGGGGTTCTGGAGGAAGAGGGAGAGCGCTGCACACACACTCCACTGCACCTGTGCGTGGCGAGAGCCGAGGTGGGGAGGAGGGGGAATGGGGAGAGGGGAAAAATAGATGTAAAGAAGGCTGCACACACACTCCACTGCACCTGTGCGTGGCGAGAGCCGAGGTGGGGAAAGGGGGAAAGGAGGGGGTGGAGAAAGATGTATAGAGAGGGCTGCACACACACTCCACTGCACCTGTGCATGGTGAGAGTAGAGGTGGGGAGGGGGGGAAGAGGGGTGGGAAAGAAGGATGTAACGAGATGGCTTGCAAGTGAGGAAGGGGGAATGGGAGAACAGAGATAAAGAGAAGGCTGCAAGCACATTTCGCTGCATCTGTGAATGTATGAGCCGTGAGAAGAGAGGGTCGGGGCAAGAAGGAAAAGCGGAAGGAGGGAAAGAGGGAGGACGGGTAGAGAGAACATGATCAGGATGATACAGTCAATCAAACACACCCCCTCCACCTCCTCTTCTGCTCCCTTTTCCCACTCCCCGCTTTCCACTCCCCATTCCCACTCCCCACTCCCCACCCACTCCCCACTCCCCACACACTGTCACTGTCACATCCCACGCACTTGCCTTGGGGTTGGTCTGCAAGGCGCATGAGAGAATGGCTTCAACCACTCGCTCCTGCCACGCCCCCGCCACTCCACCACTGCTCTCCCTCTCCTCCTCCACCTCCTCCTGTGCACTTGCTGTCTCTTGATTCTCAGCTTCCCTCCTATGCATGTGAATGTTTCCTGCTTCTGCACTCCTCTCTGATGGTGCAGCCCCGGCTGCTTCAGATGCAAGTCTAACAATTTGAGTCAAGCCAGCATTGGCTGTGCTGCTGATACAGCTATCACCGGGACACTGCTGCATCTGCGGATGCTGATCTCCTTCGATACAACCACCACTACTTGACCTGCCACCACTTCCCCTATCATTTTCACATGCCTCCGCTGCTTCACCCCCCACTGCCTGTTGACACTCACAGCAGCACCGGCCATTATTCTGGAGGCAATTCAACTGCCCTCCTCCAGTCTCAGCAGCTGTTGAGGAGCAGGAGAGGCGTGTGGCAGTGGTGGTGTGGCGACCACAACAGCATGGTCTGGCAGGGTTTGCTGCATCGGTGTGTGGGCAGCAGCGGTGGCAGAAGCAGCAGGAGCAGGCGAGAGCCCCCAGCAGCCGAACGGCACTGGCTTTGACCTGAGAGGCGGGGGAGGGATGGGAGGAGGGATGGAGGAGAGATGGAGGAGAGATGGAGGAGAGATGGAGGAGCAAGGGAAGGACAATATCCAGTGGACTAACAAATTCCGCAAATATGATCAATAAGTGCATGCCATTGTGGTGCTTATCATAAACAGCTTCTATCGTTATTATCACCCTGCTCATAATAAAGCACCTGATCCTTCTCGGCTGGCTATCAATAATAAATCTTTGTATCATTATCCTTTGACTATCAAAAGGTACCTTATCATTGTCGCCTGCTCCTTTCACAGCAGTGCGGGCGAGGGCTTCAACGTCAGACGCCCTCCACCAAGCTGCACTCGATTCCCCACCAACGTGCGTGCCCAGTGTGGTGCCAGAACCTTCCCTGCTGGAGTGACTAGTGCCACAGTGTGTGCTGCTACAGTGTGTGCTGCTACAGTGCATGGGTGGCAGACGCTCTGAGATGTTGGCGAGGGACCACATTGCAGTAGATCGGACCTGAGGGGGGACAGTAGCGGGGGGAGTAGGGGGAAAGAGGGGAAGGGGGGAGAGAGGGAGCGGGGGGGGGGGGGGGGGGGAGGGGGAGAGGGGGTAAGGGGAGAGGAAGGAAGGTGGTTCATTGAGGCATCTCAATAGATGTTGGTGAGGGACCACATTGCAGCAGAGAGGAGCTGAGGGTGGGGGAAGTTGGTTAAGGACTGTAGAGGCGGGCATGGGAAGGAGGGGAGGGGGAGGGGGGGGTGATTGACACGCCTCAATAGATGTTGGCAAAGGCCACATTACAGTTGAGCGGACAACGGTGGGGATAGTAGAGGGGGATGTGGTGGGACAGGGGGGGACAGGTAGGGTTTATATGCATGAAACGGGGTTGGATGGAAGGAAGGATGAAACAGATGGCAGCATTGCAAAGTAAACACGTATTTGAAATGGGAAGGTACAAAAGTTCCAAAAGTAATCGAAGCTAATTAAATTCCAAAAAGTATGAATGAGAGAGCATAAAGGTCGACGCAAGTGAAAAAAAGTGGAGTGAAGACAGTGGCGCGATGCACGTGTGATGAGTCTGTTTTTTAGTCGACTCATAAACAGACTCATCACACGCGATGCACTGGAACGGACAGAGGCTGGATGGTTTTCATGGTGTGCCGTGCGGTGCACTGATGCACTGAGTGATTGAGCTAGCAGCACTGTGCAGCGATGGCACTCACGAGAACGGAAGACGAGAAGCAGGCTTGGAGCAGCAGCATGCGGCCATGCGAGAAGAGACTCAACGCAGAGCACGAGGAAGAAGTGGATGGCAATGGCGGCTCTTGCAATGAGGCATGCCTTTGGTCTCTGGGACTCCTGAACAGGCACACATGAGCAAAAATGCTGACGTGAAGTATACACATGGATGGTTCGGGTGCACATGGATGGTTCGGGTGCACAAATAACGTGGCAACGCAAGTGCAACCCACCATTAGGTTGGCGCTGTTCATGTGCTGGTGGCTGCTGGTTGGCCACACTCCGTTGCTTGCATTGTGTGTGTGCGCATCAAGTGAAGCTCACTTGTTGCCTAGTCACAATATGAGCACATAATGCAATTCCGGTTTCGGAACTCACAGTGCGGGCATGAGGTGCAGCAGAATGGTTCCAAAGACCTTCATCAGTGCTGCTTGCACTGCTGGCACTGACTCTCCTGCTGCCAGGGCGAACTGGCACATGCAAAGAAGGGACAACAAAAATAATGCTTGCGAGGGGGATCTGATTTCTCCTCTGGTTGAGTGCCACAGGAAGAGGAAACTGGGCTGAGGCACAGGTGAAGTATTAGAAAAGGGTTGCAAAGAGCCTTTCACAGAAAGTCCAGGTTGTGGGCAAGAGAGGTGGACACGTGGAAGCATACCATTGGCTGGAAGATGACGTCATGCATGTGGGAGAGGTACTGCAGGGTGGGCGCTGGCATGTGCAGGAAGCATGTGAGTGCTGTCATGCGGATCTGGCGGGAGGGAGAGAGGGGTGGGAGGGGTGGGAGGGGAGGCGGGGGGAGGGAGAAAGGGAGTGGTGAGTCGTGGTGAGTCGTGGTGAGTCGTGGTGAGTCGTGGTGAGTCATGGTGAGTCGTGGTGAGTCGTGGTGAGTCGTGGTGAGTCGTGGTGAGTCGTGGTGAGTCGTGGTGAGTCGTGGTGAGTCGTGGTGAGTCGTGGTGACCTTAGGCGATGGTGCTCTCAAAGGGTGGGCGCTGCAGGCAGGCGTGTGCAACATGCGGGCAGACATGCGGGAAGACATGCGGGCAGACATGCGGGCAGACATGCGGGAAGACATGCGGGCAGACATGCGGGCAGACATGCCTCACATGTGAACGCCTGACAAGCATGTGAACGCCTGACAAGCATGTGAACGCCTGACAAGCATGTGAACGCCTGACAAGCATGCAAACGCCTGACAAGCATGCGAACGCCTGACAAGCATGTGAACGCCTGACAAGCATGTGAACGCCTGACAAGCATGTGAACGCCTGACAAGCATGCGAACGCCTGACAAGCATGCGAACGCCTGACAAGCATGCGAACGCCTGACAAGCATGCGAACGCCTGACAAGCATGTGAACGCCTGACAAGCATGTGAACGCCTGACAAGCATGTGAACGCCTGACAAGCATGTGAACGCCTGACAAGCATGTGAACGCCTGACAAGCATGTGAACGCCTGACAAGCATGTGAACGCCTGACAAGCATGTGAATGCTGCCAAGCGAATCTGGCTGGAAGGGAGGAGGCGCGGAGGGAGGAGGGGCGGAGGGGGGAGGGGGGAGGGGGGAGGGGGGAAGGGTGATGCTTTTCTTCCCGTATCATTCCCCTCCTCGTAACCGCCTTGTACTGGGCAAGGAGGGCGACGGAGGAATGGAGGGCGACGGAGGAAGGGAGGGCGACGGAGGAAGGGAGGGCGACGGAGGAAGGGAGGGCGATGGAGGAAGGGAGGGCGACGGAGGAATGGAGGGCGACGGAGGAATGGAGGGCGACGGAGGAAGGGAGGGCGACGGAGGACGGGTGGGCGACGGAGGAAGGGAGGGCGACGGAGGAAGGGAGGGCGACGGAGGAAGGGAGGGCGACGGAGGAAGGGAGGGCGACGGAGGAAGGGAGGGCGACGGAGGAAGGGAGGGCGACGGAGGAAGGGAGGGCGACGGAGGAAGTGAGGGCGACGGAGGAATGGAGGGCGACGGAGGAAGGGAGGGCGACGGAGGAATGGAGGGCGACGGAGGAAGGGAGGGCGACGGAGGAAGGGAGGGCGACGGAGGAATGGAGGGCGACGGAGGAAGGGAGGGCGACGGAGGAATGGAGGGCGACGGAGGAAGGGAGGGCGACGGAGGAATGGAGGGCGACGGAGGAAGGGAGGGCGACGGAGGAAGGGAGGGCGACGAAGGAAGGGAGGGCGATGGAGGAATGGAGGGCGACGGAGGAATGGAGGGCGACGGAGGAAGGGAGGGCGACGGAGGAATGGAGGGCGACGGAGGAAGGGAGGGCGACGGAGGAATGGAGGGCGACGGAGGAATGGAGGGCGACGGAGGAAGGGAGGGCGACGGAGGAAGGGAGGGCGACGGAGGAAGGGAGGGCGACGGAGGAAGGGAGGGCGACGGAGGAATGGAGGGCGACGGAGGAATGGAGGGCGACGGAGGAAGGGAGGGCGACGGAGGAAGGGAGGGCGACGGAGGAAGGGAGGGCGACGGAGGAAGGGAGGGCGACGGAGGAAGGGAGGGCGACGGAGGAAGGGAGGGCGATGGAGGAAGGGAGGGCGACGGAGGAAGGGAGGGCGACGGAGGAAGGGAGGGCGACGGAGGAAGGGAGGGCGACGGAGGAAGGGAGGGCGACGGAGGAATGGAGGGCGACGGAGGAAGGGAGGGCGACGGAGGAATGGAGGGCGAAGGAGGAATGGAGGGCGAAGGAGGAATGGAGGGCGACGGAGGAAGGGAGGGCGACGGAGGAATGGAGGGCGACGGAGGAAGGGAGGGCGACGGAGGAAGGGAGGGCGACGGAGGAAGGGAGGGCGACGGAGGAAGGGAGGGCGACGGAGGAAGGGAGGGCGACGGAGGAAGGGAGGGCGACGGAGGAAGGGAGGGCGACGGAGGAATGGAGGGCGACGGAGGAATGGAGGGCGACGGAGGAAGGGAGGGCGACGGAGGAAGGGAGGGCGACGGAGGAAGGGAGGGCGACGGAGGAAGGGAGGGCGACGGATGAAGGGAGGGCGACGGAGGAAGGGAGGGCGATGAAGGAAGGGAGGGCGATGGAGGAAGGGAGGGCGACGGAGGAAGGGAGGGCGAAGGAGGAAGGGAGGGCGACGGAGGAAGGGAGGGCGACGGAGGAAGGGAGGGCGACGGAGGAATGGAGGGCGACGGAGGAATGGAGGGCGACGGAGGAAGGGAGGGCGACGGAGGAAGGGAGGGCGACGGAGGAAGGGAGGGCGACGGAGGAAGGGAGGGCGACGGAGGAAGGGAGGGCGACGGAGGAAGGGAGGGCGACGGAGGAATGGAGGGCGACGGAGGAAGGGAGGGCGACGGAGGAATGGAGGGCGACGGAGGAAGGGAGGGCGACGGAGGAAGGGAGGGCGACGGAGGAAGGGAGGGCGACGGAGGAAGGGAGGGCGACGGAGGAATGGAGGGCGACGGAGGAAGGGAGGGCGACGGAGGAAGGGAGGGCGACGGAGGAAGGGAGGGCGACGGAGGAATGGAGGGCGACGGAGGAATGGAGGGCGACGGAGGAAGGGAGGGCGACGGAGGAAGGGAGGGCGACGGAGGAAGGGAGGGCGACGGAGGAAGGGAGGGCGACGGAGGAAGGGAGGGCGACGGAGGAAGGGAGGGCGACGGAGGAATGGAGGGCGACGGAGGAAGGGAGGGCGACGGAGGAATGGAGGGCGACGGAGGAATGGAGGGCGACGGAGGAAGGGAGGGCGACAGAGGAATGGAGGGCGACGGAGGAAGGGAGGGCGACGGAGGAAGGGAGGGCGACGGAGGAAGGGAGGGCGACGGAGGAAGGGAGGGCGACGGAGGAATGGAGGGCGACGGAGGAATGGAGGGCGACCGAGGAAGGGAGGGCGACGGAGGAAGGGAGGGCGACGGAGGAAGGGAGGGCGACGGAGGAAGGGAGGGCGACGGAGGAAGGGAGGGCGACGGAGGAAGGGAGGGCGATGGAGGAAGGGAGGGCGACGGAGGAAGGGAGGGCGACGGAGGAAGGGAGGGCGACGGAGGAAGGGAGGGCGACGGAGGAAGGGAGGGCGACGGAGGAATGGAGGGCGACGGAGGAATGGAGGGCGACGGAGGAAGGGAGGGCGACGGAGGAATGGAGGGCGACGGAGGAAGGGAGGGCGACGGAGGAATGGAGGGCGACGGAGGAATGGAGGGCGACGGAGGAAGGGAGGGCGACGGAGGAATGGAGGGCGACGGAGGAATGGAGGGCGACGGAGGAATGGAGGGCGACGGAGGAATGGAGGGCGACGGAGGAAGGGAGGGCGACAGAGGAATGGAGGGCGACGGAGGAATGGAGGGCGACGGAGGAAGGGAGGGCGACGGAGGAATGGAGGGCGACGGAGAAATGGAGGGCGACGGAGGAAGGGAGGGCGACGGAGGAATGGAGGGCGACAGAGGAATGGAGGGCGACGGAGGAATGGAGGGCGAGGGAGGAAGGGAGGGCGACGGAGGAATGGAGGGCGACGGAGGAATGGAGGGCGACGGAGGAAGGGAGGGCGACGGAGGAATGGAGGGCGACGGAGGAATGGAGGGCGACGGAGGAAGGGAGGGCGACGGAGGAAGGGAGGGCGACGGAGGAAGGGAGGGCGACGGAGGAAGGGAGGGCGACGGAGGAATGGAGGGCGACGGAGGAAGGGAGGGCGACTGAGGAATGGAGGGCGAAGGAGGAATGGAGGGCGACGGAGGAAGGGAGGGCGACGGAGGAATGGAGGGCGACGGAGGAAGGGAGGGCGACGGAGGAAGGGAGGGCGACGGAGGAAGGGAGGGCGACGGAGGAAGGGAGGGCGACGGAGGAAGGGAGGGCGACGGAGGAAGGGAGGGCGACGGAGGAAGGGAGGGCGACGGAGGAAGGGAGGGCGACGGAGGAAGGGAGGGCGACGGAGGAAGGGAGGGCGACGGAGGAAGGGAGGGCGACGGAGGAAGGGAGGGCGACGGAGGAAGGGAGGGCGATGGAGGAAGGGAGGGCGACGGAGGAAGGGAGGGCGACGGAGGAAGGGAGGGCGACGGAGGAAGGGAGGGCGACGGAGGAAGGGAGGGCGACGGAGGAATGGAGGGCGACGGAGGAATGGAGGGCGACGGAGGAAGGGAGGGCGACGGAGGAATGGAGGGCGACGGAGGAAGGGAGGGCGACGGAGGAATGGAGGGCGACGGAGGAATGGAGGGCGACGGAGGAAGGGAGGGCGACGGAGGAATGGAGGGCGACGGAGGAATGGAGGGCGACGGAGGAATGGAGGGCGACGGAGGAATGGAGGGCGACGGAGGAAGGGAGGGCGACGGAGGAATGGAGGGCGACGGAGGAATGGAGGGCGACGGAGGAAGGGAGGGCGACGGAGGAATGGAGGGCGACGGAGGAATGGAGGGCGACGGAGGAAGGGAGGGCGACGGAGGAATGGAGGGCGACGGAGGAATGGAGGGCGACGGAGGAAGGGAGGGCGACGGAGGAATGGAGGGCGACGGAGGAATGGAGGGCGACGGAGGAAGGGAGGGCGACGGAGGAATGGAGGGCGACGGAGGAATGGAGGGCGACGGAGGAATGGAGGGCGACGGAGGAATGGAGGGCGACGGAGGAAGGGAGGGCGACGGAGGAAGGGAGGGCGACGGAGGAATGGAGGGCGACGGAGGAAGGGAGGGCGACGGAGGAAGGGAGGGCGACGGAGGAAGGGAGGGCGACGGAGGAATGGAGGGCGACGGAGGAATGGAGGGCGACGGAGGAAGGGAGGGCGACGGAGGAATGGAGGGCGACGGAGGAAGGGAGGGCGAAGGAGGAATGGAGGGCGACGGAGGAATGGAGGGCGACGGAGGAAGGGAGGGCGACGGAGGAATGGAGGGCGACGGAGGAAGAGAGGGCGACGGAGGAATGGAGGGCGACGGAGGAAGGGAGGGCGACGGAGGAATGGAGGGCGACGGAGGAAGGGAGGGCGACGGAGGAAGGGAGGGCGACGGAGGAATGGAGGGCGACGGAGGAAGGGAGGGCGACGGAGGAATGGAGGGCGACGGAGGAAGGGAGGGCGACGGAGGAATGGAGGGCGACGGAGGAAGGGAGGGCGACGGAGGAAGGGAGGGCGACGGAGGAAGGGAGGGCGACGGAGGAATGGAGGGCGACGGAGGAATGGAGGGCGACGGAGGAAGGGAGGGCGACGGAGGAAGGGAGGGCGACGGAGGAAGGGAGGGCGACGGAGGAAGGGAGGGCGACGGAGGAAGGGAGGGCGACGGAGGAAGGGAGGGCGACGGAGGAAGGGAGGGCGACGGAGGAAGGGAGGGCGACGGAGGAAGGGAGGGCGACGGAGGAAGGGAGGGCGACGGAGGAATGGAGGGCGACGGAGGAAGGGAGGGCGACGGAGGAATGGAGGGCGACGGAGGAAGGGAGGGCGACGGAGGAAGGGAGGGCGACGGAGGAATGGAGGGCGACGGAGGAAGGGAGGGCGACAGAGGAATGGAGGGCGACGGAGGAAGGGAGGGCGACGGAGGAAGGGAGGGCGACGGAGGAAGGGAGGGCGACGGAGGAAGGGAGGGCGACGGAGGAATGGAGGGCGATGGAGGAATGGAGGGCGACGGAGGAAGGGAGGGCGACGGAGGAAGGGAGGGCGACGGAGGAAGGGAGGGCGACGGAGGAAGGGAGGGCGACGGAGGAAGGGAGGGCGACGGAGGAAGGGAGGGCGACGGAGGAATGGAGGGCGACGGAGGAATGGAGGGCGACGGAGGAAGGGAGGGCGACGGAGGAATGGAGGGCGACGGAGGAATGGAGGGCGACGGAGGAATGGAGGGCGACGGAGGAATGGAGGGCGACGGAGGAAGGGAGGGCGACGGAGGAATGGAGGGCGACGGAGGAATGGAGGGCGACGGAGGAAGGGAGGGCGACGGAGGAATGGAGGGCGACGGAGGAATGGAGGGCGACGGAGGAAGGGAGGGCGACGGAGGAATGGAGGGCGACGGAGGAATGGAGGGCGACGGAGGAATGGAGGGCGACGGAGGAATGGAGGGCGACGGAGGAAGGGAGGGCGACGGAGGAAGGGAGGGCGACGGAGGAATGGAGGGCGACGGAGGAATGGAGGGCGACGGAGGAAGGGAGGGCGACGGAGGAATGGAGGGCGACGGAGGAATGGAGGGCGACGGAGGAAGGGAGGGCGACGGAGGAAGGGAGGGCGACGGAGGAAGGGAGGGCGACGGAGGAAGGGAGGGCGACGGAGGAAGGGAGGGCGACGGAGGAAGGGAGGGCGACGGAGGAAGGGAGGGCGACGGAGGAAGGGAGGGCGACGGAGGAAGGGAGGGCGACGGAGGAAGGGAGGGCGACGGAGGAAGGGAGGGCGACGGAGGAAGGGAGGGCGACGGAGGAATGGAGGGCGACGGAGGAAGGGAGGGCGACGGAGGAATGGAGGGCGACGGAGGAAGGGAGGGCGACGGAGGAATGGAGGGCGACGGAGGAAGGGAGGGCGACGGAGGAATGGAGGGCGACGGAGGAAGGGAGGGCGACGGAGGAATGGAGGGCGACGGAGGAAGGGAGGGCGACGGAGGAAGGGAGGGCGACGGAGGAATGGAGGGCGACGGAGGAAGGGAGGGCGACGGAGGAATGGAGGGCGACGGAGGAAGGGAGGGCGACGGAGGAATGGAGGGCGACGGAGGAAGGGAGGGCGACGGAGGAAGGGAGGGCGATGGAGGAATGGAGGGCGACGGAGGAATGGAGGGCGACGGAGGAAGGGAGGGCGACGGAGGAAGGGCAGTACTTCACTGGTCGGTCTCTATAACGTGGGCACCGTGATTACCATACGCTATCACTCTCCACCCCCACAATGTATGTACCATATCACCCCTGATCACTGTATTATACATACTGCGTGAGGGGGCTGGCTGAGGAGGAGTGGTGTGGCGGCAAGCCTATGCGGTAGGTACCCACCTGATGATAACTCCTCACCGCCCTGTACCATACCACCCTTCTCATTCTCATTACCGTGTGCACCGTACCGGGGGAGAGGGGTGTCTGAGGAGGGGAGGCAGCAGGCCAAGGCGGAGCACCTCAGCCCATTGCGAGGCACCAGGAGGAGGGACACGTGGCAGCAGCTGATTGGATGAAGTCGGCTCACTACCAATCCCAGCAGAGGCAGTATGTACAGCAGGCGAATCTACAGTAGCACAGGGAGATGTGGAAGGATGGTGGGCTGTAGATGCTTCTGTAGCACGGTGGCAGGCTGTAGCAGAACCTGTTAAGGCAGGGGCACATGCAGTGGCAGCTGTAGCACTTGTGGCAGCTGTAGCACTTGTGGCAGCTGTAGCACTTGTGGCAGCTGTAGCAGCTGTGGCAGCTGTAGCAGCTGTGGCAGAGGCACACACTGTAGTAGCACAGGCAGGTGCTACCATGCTTGGGGAGACGGGGGCTAACCCCCCCTCTTGTTGCTGCTGCTGCTGCTGCTGCTGCTGCTGCTGGGGCTGGTAGTGGGGCCAGGCACAGCAGTGCTGGCAGCAAGTGCACGCGCAAGCACATGAGGGCAGCAGTCTGTTGCAAGTGTTCCAAGTGACCTTCAACTGCCGCCTCATGGACTCACCCTCCTCCTCCCCCTCTCCTCCACCTCCTCCTCCCAGCTCTGCCTCGTGCTGCTGCTGCCCTGCCTGTCCTGCACTGCCTACCGCTGCTGCTCCTCGCGTGGCTGCGAGTGTGGTGAGCAGTTGGTCCAGCAGCTGTGGTGGCGCAAGGGTGGTGGGGAAGGTCAGGGCACATGGCAGGCAGAGAGAACGATGAGTTGCAATGGTGAAGAGAAAGAGGGGGTAAGGAGGGTAAGAGAAGTGGAACGAGGAGGGGCAGAAGGGGACGAACGGTAGAGAGGGGCAGAAGGAAAGATAGTGAGGAGCAGAGCGACTGTGAAGGTCACTTTTGAGAATTCTCAACGCACCTTGAGTGCTGCAGGGTGGAGGCGGTCAGTGAGAGTGGTATCAGCCTGCAGCGTGCTGCTGTCAGCGTGTGCAATAGGGAGCTGATCCTGCATGGCGGTGTGTGTTGCTGAGGTGCTGGCAGTGTCGGGCTTGGCAGGTGTGGTGGGAGGTGCCAATGTGGCAGTGATGAGGGCAAAGAGGTCGGGCCAGAGGGGCTCGGTTGCAGATGCAGGGAATGTGGACACCCATGCTGCTAGCGCCTGGAGGAGGGTAGTGAGGAACGAGGTGTGTAGTTGGTAAAAAGTGCCATAACTGAAAGGCATGGAAAGAGATGCAAGAAATGTGGCGACTCATGCTGTTAGGGCCTGGCAAGGAAAGAACAGCGGGACTTGGGGGAGGCGAGCAGGGAAGGAAGGAAATCAAGACACTGGAGCGTCACCAGAGGGAAGCTTACGTTAGGGGAGATTAATCTGGCAAACGTAGGGATGCACGTGGGTGGTGGTTCTATCAACCAGGTGCGCACCTGAAGGGCTTCAACTCGCACGGCAGTGGGAATGCAAGGCTGCACCCACGACACCAGGCACGTGAGGGTGATGGTTGATGGCGTGCTGCTGGTAACTGTGGCGGGTGGTTGTGGCGGAGGGAGTGTGGAGCGCAAAAGGACATGGCCTAGGGATGCCGTTGCTGCTGCTGCTGTGGCTGCCTGCTCATACATGCATGCACGCACACACTCACATGCATGCATGCATGCATGCATGCACGCTCACACGCACACATGCACACACACACGCACTCACACACGCACTCACAAACACACTCACAAACGCACGCACACATGCACACACGCACTCACGAACACACAAACACACACACACACACACACACACACACACACATACACACATACACGCACGCACGCACGTGCAAGCACGAAAGAACACACACCCACATACACACACACACACACACATACGCACGCACGCACACACACACACACACACACACACACACACACACACACACGCATGTACGCACAAATGCATGCTCATCACCGCATGATCCAAGACACATGGTAAAATGCAACATGCAATAGCTATAGGAAACTGCGCAGCTTCCATATGCCCGCATTTGCACAGAAGCGCATACACACACATACATCACGGAAAACATTTCTCCTTTTCTTTTTGAATGAGCATGTCTACGAACCAGGATGAAAACGATAAGGCAACTTAGCTGCTTACAGAAGCAGTGGAGATGCCATCCTCGCTATAAGACATGCTGGTGGACCAGGAGGAGGAGGACAGGGGGCCTGGCGAGAGAAGAGTGGAGATCCGCGTGACTAGAGCGGAGGGCAGGATGTGACTCAAACGAGGGGAGGAACGCAGGCGATGGTACCTTTATTGGGGGGCAGGCAGGTGTGGGGGGATGGGGAGGGTGGTGTGCTGTGCTTGGTAGAAGCATTAGATTGATTAGATTAGGAGAGGGAGGGGAATGAAGGTAAATTCGTAAAAAGCCATCATTCCCCACAAGGAGGACACGTCTTACGGTGTGCATTGTGCCAGCAGGGATGCCAGCTTGCAGGCAAGGGACAGGGTCCACGGGTCCTGCTCCTGCTGTAGCACTACTGCCACAGCTGCACGAAGGGGGGGAAGAAACGCGGGCAGTACAGGAGCACAGGAGCACTTTCAAGGATCAGGACCCATGTGGACCGTGTGCCTATAGGGGGGGAGATACAGTCTGGGGATCCTTCTCCTGATGCAGCGCTGCCGCCACAGCTGAACGCGGGGGGAACAGAGGGACAGACAGGAGGGAACGACTTATGGCGTGAATTGCAAGGGACAGGGTCCATGAGCCCTGCTCCTAAAAGAGAGCGCATTAACTATTGAGGCGCCTCAAAAGAGAGGCATATGCTTTGTTCACATGGGTGAACAGTGAAAGCAGGAGTGAACCCCATTGGTGGGCAACAGAAGAAGCGCAGCAGCACAGGAATTGGATGGATCCCACAGATGCCTGCCTGTACACTCACCACTGTGCATATCTGCAAGACTGTCAGCAAGGATTGCAGAAAGCGAAATAAAGGAAGCTCGGCTGCCGCCGCTGCTGCTGTTGCTGCTTGGAGCACCACCACCAACACCACCATCACCCCCAGCATGACCAGCAGCACCATCCACCCCTTCTGTTCCCCCAGTACCACTCTCCACCCCTCCTGACCCTCGCACTGGTGCTCTCTTGCCCGGAGTGCGAGGCCCCCCAGCAGCAGCAGAGGCAGCAGGGGGGGTGGGCGCAGAGGCAGCAGTGCGATGAAGGAAGGTGAGAGTGAGAGGCGAGTCAAGGAGGGAAGCGAGGGCCTGCGCTGCTGCCACCCGCACCTGCGAGAGAGGAGAGAGGAAGGTGGCGATGAGGGAAGAGGGGAAGGGCCAAAGGAGGGGTGAAAAAGGAGGGGCGAGGAGGAGGCAGAAGGACAGTGAAGAGCGAGCCTAGGGTATACAGTCAGTACAGGAGCGATTTTTATCAGTTCTGCCTATCATGTTCCAGGTGCTTCTGCATGGTACACACGGTACAATAATATTGTTGAGAAATGAAAGAATGGTTTCGCAAGTACGGGACACTGGATGATTCAGTTCATAGGCACAGTAATGTACTGGACCTATGAAATGAATTCTCCAGACACTGGAGCACGGTTTGTAGAGTTTGTAGATACAGTAGCTGCGCACGTCACCTTGGGGGATGGGTCGGCGAGCATTTGTAGCCTATGTTACGGCGGAGTGGGGGAAGAGAGAGTTTTGTCAGTTATGCCTATGTTCCAGGGCTGACCTATGTCAGATTGTAGCTGCCCACGTCACCTTGGGGGATGGGTCGGCGAGCAGAGGCGCTAGGAGGGACGCTGAGGAGGACCTGGTAGGGGGAAGTGGAAGGCACGGGGGGGGTAGGCACGTGGGGGGTAGGCACGTGGGGGGTAGGCACGTGGGGGGTAGGCACGGGGGGGGTAGGCACGTGGGGGGTAGGCATGTGGGGGGTAGGCACGTGGGGGGTAGGCACGTGGGGGGTAGGCACGTGGGGGGTAGGCATGTGGGGGGTAGGCACGTGGGGGTAGGCACGCGGGGGGTAGGCACGCGGGGGGTAGGCACGTGGGGGGTAGGCACGTGGGGGGTAGGCACGTGGGGGGTAGGCACGTGGGGGGTAGGCACGTGGGGGGTAGGCACATGGGGGGTAGGCACGCGGGGGGTAGGCATGCGGGGGGTAGGCACGCGTGGGGTAGGCACGTGGGGGGTGGGCACGCGGGGGGTAGGCACGTGGGGGGTAGGCACGTGGGGGGTAGGCACGTGGGGGGTAGGCACGCGGGGGGTAGGCACGCGGGGGGGCACGCGGGGGGTAGGCACGTGGGGGGTAGGCACGTGGGGGGTAGGAACGTGGGGGGTAGGCACGTAGGGGGTACGCACGCGGGGGGTAGGCACGTGGGGGTTAGGCACGTGGGGGGTAGGCACGCGGGGGGTAGGCACGCGGGGGGTAGGCACGCAGGGGGTAGGCACGTGGGGGGTAGGCACGCGGGGGGTAGGCACGTGGGGGGTAGGCACGTGGGGGGTAGGCACGTAGGGGGGTAGGCACACGGGGGGTAGGCACGCGGGGCGTAGGCACGCGGGGGGTAGGCACGTGGGGGGTAGGCACGTGGGGGGTAGGCACGTGGGGGGTAGGTGGTCTGTGAGAGAGCAAGAAAAGCAGCAAGAAGAAACGAGGACGAGGACCCGGACGTGCAGGGGAAGTGCAGGGGAAGTGCAGGGGTCATTGAGAGCGAGAGCAATGTTCCATGCATGGATGTGAGGGCAGTCCGTCACATGAGCAAACCGTATGCGTGCGAGACACACCTGGGGGCAGCAGCGGAGGAGTGGGGGAAGAGCACAGCCCAGTGCGCGTGCAGTGCCCTGGGATACACCCCTGCCAGGCTCTGGTGGGTGCATGGGATGGGACGAGATGGGAAGGGAGAGGAAAGAGCAGCAGAGGAGTGAGGGAAGAAACCGGGGTGAGAGAAGGGGGAGCGGAGGAGTGGGGGAAGAGCACAGCCCAGTGCGCGTGCAGTGCCCTGGGATACACCCCTGCCAGGCTCTGGTGGGTGCATGGGATGGGACGAGATGGGAAGGGAGAGGAAAGAGCAGCAGAGGAGTGAGGGAAGAAACCGGGGTGAGAGAAGGGGGAGCGGAGGAGTGGGGGAAGAGCACAGCCCAGTGCGCGTGCAGTGCCGTGGGACACACACGTGCAAGGCTCTGGTGGGGGTATGGGAATACAGTGCAGGTGAAGAGATGGGAGGTGGGGGGACGGGAGATTGCAGTGAGGCGGGGGAAGAGCACAGCTGTTTTGAGTCGCTTCAAAAGAGAACAGCCCCTTGAGCATGCTCTGGTGAGCGTGCGGAAATAGACGGGAAGTGGGGGTGAGGGTAGAAGAGTGAGGAAGTAGCTGACAAGGCACCCACCTTGATGCAGGTGAGTGAAGCTATTCTCAACTTCCTTGCCTCCACGCTACCACCTCCTCTCCTCCCATCGCCTCCCCGCCCACCCCAACTACCTCCTCCCCCTCCTCCTCTCCTTTCTCCACCCCATCCCTCCTCCTCCTCGCTCTGTTCTGAGCCAGAACCCCTCGCATCACTGATCTCCGAGGGGAAATACCCCCAGCTGCTTCGCTCAGTCACCCGGCTGCCCGGAAAAAAACCATTCAGGTGTGAGAAACGGGGGCCATGGGTAGAAGCAGCATCTGCTGCGAGTTTCAACCCTGCTAGTAATGCTGATGGTGCTGCTGCAAGTGCCTCCACCCCTCCATCTGCTGCTGCTGCTGCTGCTGCTGGTTGCAGGACGGGAGGCAGGGAGGACAAGGCGGGAGAGAGAGCAGGCGGGGGGGCTCGAGCATTGCGGGAGCGCAGGTGGGGGGGCTTGTAGGGGGAGGCAGCGGGGGAGGAGGCGGCAGAGGAGGCAGCTGAAGCGGGGCGAGAAGGGGGAGCGGAGGAAGGCAAGGAGGAGGAGGCGGAGGGGTGGAGCAGACGCGCTTGCTGGTGGAGGTGGACGAAGAGGTGCTGGTGGAGGCCTGCTGAGAGCAGGGACGTGAGGATGGGCAGTAGGGCTGATGCCTGGGAGAAACAAAAAGGGACAAGATGAGCGACAGGTGGTTGGGGGTGGTGTTAGAAGTTGAAATGAAAGAGGTGTTGGTGCTGGCGAGCAGAGAGCAGGGACATGAGGATGGGCAGTAGGGCGGACGCCTGGGGCACGCACAGGTGGGTGAGAGAACCCGGCAGGGAAACTGGCAAGATGCTGATTATTGGAAACAGGAGAAATTCAAAGCCAATTTCACGAAGCAGTAGGTGGATAGAATAGCCACCTGACATGACCGCCCTGCCCTAGGTTTACCACGTGCTTACCCATTATTTGCGGATATTCTTATTACAATTGAACCTACTGGGTAAGCACCTTTGACCTGAACATGTATGCTCCATAGCGAGTACAGTGCGGCACGAGCCTAGCAGGCTGTCCTCGTTATAGAGATTTGTTGAGATACTTGTTATGATGCGCACACACCTGGGCTTGGCAGAAGGATGTGGAGAGTGAGGGGGTCGCGAGGTTGAGCAGGTGAAGCAGCAAGGAGAGGAGAGGTCGCATGGCGCTGGGGGGGAGCAGGAACGGATTAAGGGTGGGGGGAAGAAATGAAAGAGAGATGAAGGAGAGGGAGGAGTGAGCACAAGACAAGGTTCCTCAGAAGATAAATGCGATTGTGCAACTCTTAATCCTGGCACAACGAGATGGTACGAACATGTGGCATGCGTCACGCACAAGCGTTGCGAATGGCTCAGTGCTCAAGCATGAAGCAGTGTGCTGTGCTGTGATGCTGTCCCATGGCATGACATGCTGTCCCATGGCATGACATGCTGTCCCATGGCATGACATGCTGTCCCATGGCATGACATGCTGTCCCATGGCATGACATGCTGTCCCATGGCATGACATGCTGTCCCATGGCATGACATGCTGTCCCATGGCATGACATGCTGTCCCATGGCATGACATGCTGTCCCATGGCATGACATGCTGTCCCATGGCATGACATGCTGTCCCATGGCATGACATGCTGTCCCATGGCATGACATGCTGTCCCATGGCATGACATGCTGTCCCATGGCATGACATGCTGTCCCATGGCATGACATGCTGTCCCATGGCATGACATGCTGTCCCATGGCATGACATGCTGTCCCATGGCATGACATGCTGTCCCATGGCATGATATGCTGTCCCATGGCATGACATGCTGTCCCATGGCATGACATGCTGTCCCATGGCATGACATGCTGTCCCATGGCATGACATGCTTTCTCATGGCAAGACAAGGTTCCTCAGAAGATAAATGCGATTGTGCAACTCTTAGTCCTGGCACAACGAGATGGTACGAACATGTGGCATGCGTCACGCACAAGCGTTGCGAATGGCTCAGTGCTCAAGCATGAAGCAGTGTGCTGTGCTGTGATGCTGTCCCATGGCATGACATGCTGTCCCATGGCATGACATGCTGTCCCATGGCATGACATGCTGTCCCATGGCATGACATGCTGTCCCATGGCATGACATGCTGTCCCATGGCACGACATGCTGTCTCATGGCATGACATGCTGTCCCATGGCATGACATGCTGTCCCATGGCATGACATGCTGTCCCATGGCATGACATGCTGTCCCATGGCATGACATGCTTTCTCATGGCAAGACAAGGTTCCTCAGAAGATAAATGCGATTGTGCAACTCTTAATCCTGGCACAACGAGATGGTACGAACATGTGGCATGCGTCACGCACAAGCGTTGCGAATGGCTCAGTGCTCAAGCATGAAGCAGTGTGCTGTGCTGTGATGCTGTCCCATGGCATGACATGCTGTCCCATGGCATGACATGCTGTCCCATGGCATGACATGCTGTCCCATGGCATGACATGCTGTCCCATGGCATGACATGCTGTCCCATGGCACGACATGCTGTCTCATGGCATGACATGCTGTCCCATGGCATGACATGCTGTCCCATGGCATGACATGCTGTCCCATGGCATGACATGCTGTCCCATGGCATGACATGCTGTCCCATGGCATGACATGCTGTCCCATGGCATGACATGCTGTCTCATGGCATGACATGCTGTCCCATGGCATGACATGCTGTCCCATGGCATGACATGCTGTCCCATGGCATGACATGCTGTCCCATGGCATGACATGCTGTCCCATGGCATGACATGCTGTCCCATGGCATGACATGCTGTCCCATGGCATGACATGCTGTCCCATGGCATGATATGCTGTCCCATGGCATGACATGCTGTCCCATGGCATGACATGCTGTCCCATGGCATGACATGCTGTCCCATGGCATGACATGCTTTCTCATGGCAAGACAAGGTTCCTCAGAAGATAAATGCGATTGTGCAACTCTTAGTCCTGGCACAACGAGATGGTACGAACATGTGGCATGCGTCACGCACAAGCGTTGCGAATGGCTCAGTGCTCAAGCATGAAGCAGTGTGCTGTGCTGTGATGCTGTCCCATGGCATGACATGCTGTCCCATGGCATGACATGCTGTCCCATGGCATGACATGCTGTCCCATGGCATGACATGCTGTCCCATGGCATGACATGCTGTCCCATGGCACGACATGCTGTCTCATGGCATGACATGCTGTCCCATGGCATGACATGCTGTCCCATGGCATGACATGCTGTCCCATGGCATGACATGCTGTCCCATGGCATGACATGCTTTCTCATGGCAAGACAAGGTTCCTCAGAAGATAAATGCGATTGTGCAACTCTTAATCCTGGCACAACGAGATGGTACGAACATGTGGCATGCGTCACGCACAAGCGTTGCGAATGGCTCAGTGCTCAAGCATGAAGCAGTGTGCTGTGCTGTGATGCTGTCCCATGGCATGACATGCTGTCCCATGGCATGACATGCTGTCCCATGGCATGACATGCTGTCCCATGGCATGACATGCTGTCCCATGGCATGACATGCTGTCCCATGGCACGACATGCTGTCTCATGGCATGACATGCTGTCCCATGGCATGACATGCTGTCCCATGGCATGACATGCTGTCCCATGGCATGACATGCTGTCCCATGGCATGACATGCTGTCCCATGGCATGACATGCTGTCCCATGGCATGACATGCTGTCCCATGGCATGACATGCTGTCCCATGGCATGATATGCTGTCCCATGGCATGACATGCTGTCCCATGGCATGACATGCTGTCCCATGGCATGACATGCTGTCCCATGGCATGACATGCTTTCTCATGGCAAGACAAGGTTCCTCAGAAGATAAATGCGATTGTGCAACTCTTAGTCCTGGCACAACGAGATGGTACGAACATGTGGCATGCGTCACGCACAAGCGTTGCGAATGGCTCAGTGCTCAAGCATGAAGCAGTGTGCTGTGCTGTGATGCTGTCCCATGGCATGACATGCTGTCCCATGGCATGACATGCTGTCCCATGGCATGACATGCTGTCCCATGGCATGACATGCTGTCCCATGGCATGACATGCTGTCCCATGGCACGACATGCTGTCTCATGGCATGACATGCTGTCCCATGGCATGACATGCTGTCCCATGGCATGACATGCTGTCCCATGGCATGACATGCTGTCCCATGGCATGACATGCTTTCTCATGGCAAGACAAGGTTCCTCAGAAGATAAATGCGATTGTGCAACTCTTAATCCTGGCACAACGAGATGGTACGAACATGTGGCATGCGTCACGCACAAGCGTTGCGAATGGCTCAGTGCTCAAGCATGAAGCAGTGTGCTGTGCTGTGATGCTGTCCCATGGCATGACATGCTGTCCCATGGCATGACATGCTGTCCCATGGCATGACATGCTGTCCCATGGCATGACATGCTGTCCCATGGCATGACATGCTGTCCCATGGCACGACATGCTGTCTCATGGCATGACATGCTGTCCCATGGCATGACATGCTGTCCCATGGCATGACATGCTGTCCCATGGCATGACATGCTGTCTCATGGCATGACATGCTGTCCCATGGCATGACATGCTGTCCCATGGCATGACATGCTGTCCCATGGCACGACATGCTGTCTCATGGCATGACATGCTGTCCCATGGCATGACATGCTGTCCCATGGCATGACATGCTGTCCCATGGCATGACATGCTGTCCCATGGCATGACATGCTTTCTCATGGCAAGACAAGGTTCCTCAGAAGATAAATGCGATTGTGCAACTCTTAGTCCTGGCACAACGAGATGGTACGAACATGTGGCATGCGTCACGCACAAGCGTTGCGAATGGCTCAGTGCTCAAGCATGAAGCAGTGTGCTGTGCTG